GGCGAAGTGCTGATTGACTGGGGGGGAGGGGGGCGCCGGAGGGGTGAGGCGGGAGGCACGGGGAGTGGGATGGGGACGGTGTTACGAGGCTGGAACCGGAGGGGGCTCCGTGACAGACCTACTCTGGTTCAAGACCCTTAGATCGCGTCGCAAGAGAGGGGCTTAGCGCTTTGCTAGCTCCTAGAGGTGGTACCAGGGCGGGGACGGAGGAGAAGGGAGCCGCCGTGCGGCTGGAAGAGGCAGGGCCGGGGTGCTCGGAGGGTAGGGTCTGCGGGTTTCAAGCAGGACCATCTCCCCTTCTTTCCCACAGAAGAGGAGGCGATAGACTTGGCCGGAGAAGATGTCGGGCCAAACGCTCACGGATCGGATCGCCGCCGCTCAATACAGCGTGACAGGCTCCGCTGTTGCGAGAGCGGTCTGCAAAGCCACCACTCATGAAGTGATGGGCCCCAAGAAAAAGCACCTGGACTGTAAGCATCTTTTTATATAAGCGGGACATGCGCATGGCAGAGGCGCCCTGGATGCCGGCGTGCGGCCTGGGCTCGCAGTCTGTAATGCTGCGGCTTTCAGAACTCCCAGCTGAGCTCCAAATCTTCAGAGGTAGAGGTGTTGCTTTGGGGCAACCCTGAAACCTTGTGTTTGAGCCATTTTTTTCCTCCTTTGACCTCCAAGGTCTTGGTGGGGAAAAAAAAAAAAAAATACTTGTATGTATTAATACTATGAAATACTGAGAAATTGAACATTCTGGATTAGGCACTTTTCACCTCTCTTTCTTTCTTTCTTTCTTTCTTCCTTTCTTTCTTTTTCCACACACCACTCCTTTATCCAGGTTATAGGAAATCAGGGGTTGAACAGTCATAACCCTCCCCCACCCCCAAAAAAGAAAAAGATGAAATTATAAAAGGTCACATTTATCACCCTAGTTTTCTAAATACATTTTAAAAGTGTCATCTCTTTCACTGTGGCTGCTGAGGTTTTGTGTGAGTGAGTGAGTGAGTGTGTGTTGTACATAACCACACCAAACTGAAATAAATTCAAGCTATTGAATGAGGAAATTGAACTTCAGAGATCATGGAGATTTCATTTTACACATCCTGGCACACTTCTTTGTCCCATTCTCGGAAGCTGCTGGGCAGAATGACTGCTGTGGCCACAAAATGGATGTGCTTTTTCCAGCATTTGTGATGGTGCACTTTTACATGAAAACGTTTCATTCATAATGCTTTCTTTTTATATTTGTTATTTGATGGAAAACAGCTTTAATCTAGTTTAGAATCTGATATAAAATTTTCACATGATTAACGCTGTAAATAGTTATTGAAAGACAAACAGGGACTTAGAAAAAGGCACTCACTGGGTTTAGGTGTTGAGACTCTTTATAGGTAAGGCTCCATCAGCACATGTCCTCTAGCTGATTCAGCTCTAGCTGTTCAGTCTCGTTGACCTGCTTAGGAACTGCTCTGTTATGATGTTTGTTGATAAAGGTCAGTGCTGGCATAATAGACACAACTATAGCCATACCCATTTCCTATGCCCATTTTCTGAGTTTCTTTTGCTTCAGGCCTTCCCCAGTGTCTGCCTTGTGCAGCAGAGAAAATGGCACCAGTGTTAGAATTGACTTTAGTCCTATTATCTGTATGAGCACAGCTTGATGAAGCATACAGCTGGACATTGTGAGGGTCATCCAGGCTTGTGAAGCTGTTGTGTCACAGAATTGAATAATTTTGCTTCTAGAAGCTTGTCTGAGGGGAAAACACCATTACCCCTTTCCTGGGGGAGTTTCTAACAAAATTTGTTGATTATGGTATCATGTGTTATATGTGCGGTACAGGAAGGAAGAGGCCACCAGGGCCAGGGCACCTAACAGGAGTGGAAATTATAAATTCATGACCAGCTCATTTTGCTGCAGCATGCTGAATCATTTAGCCATCTTTCCATCAGTTTCCCCAACTCTGGAAAGATGACTCATGTCTTAAAGGTATGTGTCAGTCTAGCAGATATTCATTAATAAAGAAGTTACAGGTTATTGATTTGCTAAATGCTATGAAAATGGTAGATCAGTATATTGATACATATCATAAACATTCACAGGTTTGAGCATTTCATCAAAACATTATTCAGATAAAGACCCACTTTTCCATATCTAAATATTTAGTCGCCTTAGTATTTTAGATCTGGAAAAGTCTCTTAAAAATTTTCAAGGTGGGAGGTTTTCCAGTATCTCCAGCATATGTTACTGAGTGGGGTGATTTTGAAGATGTGGAACATAAGGGGGAGATTCTGTATTTAGGAAGCAGATGAAGCAGGAATTGGTATTGAATTAGTGTGAATAATCATAAGAGCTAAACATTTATTGAGCAGTTAGTATATGCCAGGCACTGGGCTTTACATTATTAATTTATTGCTGCTAAACAGGTTCAGGAAAGGTAATTAACTTTCACAGCTTTTAACCACTGCACTTAACTATTGTCTGTGGCTTATTGAGTAATATTTTCTGTGGGGGGCTGTGGGGAGGAACAGTATTAGCCTGAATGGTTAATCTCTAAAACACCTATCCTGTTTGTATGGCTTTGTGTGAAATCATGCAGCACAACCCATGCTCTATTGCAAATCTCTATGGTATGCATGAAGACTTTTGAATTTGGTCACTTAAAAAAATGAGCAAAAGGCAAGCACTGAACAGTATTAGTTTTCTTTTTAACATTTTAGTTTTTGAATAAGTAATAAAATAAAAGAGCTGCACTTAAATACAACCTTAGGGCAAAATTTGGAAAGATAGATATCACATTATTGATATGTCCTATCTTAAGAAAAAAATGACATGGAAAATTTGAGTATACAAATATTGTTATATTTATATGCATTTTAAGAGGGCATTTTACTTGGAATTCCTTGTGAAGTTCCTTTAAATAATAGTAGACTACCTTAGCAATTTTTTCACAGGTTTTCGGTAACATAACAGTTATAACAGTGAGTCACATCCATTATTAGGACATGCAAACACATAACTAAGTTTCCCTATAGGCATTGAAGCACTCTTAAGTAATGTTTTAGTATTGAAAATACTAAATAGTAGTTGGGAGGAAAAGAGCATAATGTAGAGTGGAAACAAAAAAAAAAAATTAGCTTGATTTGTGTATAACTTTTTAGTTTGGAATTTAGGTTGGAAGGTTATAAGATTAAAGTTTATGGTTTTGTGATTTTTTTTGCAGATATTGGATTAATGGAATAGGCTCTGAATATTATTTAAAGTATTGGTTTAAAATATGATTTTTTTTTTCTGTTTGGGTTGATAGGCCAAGAAAATTAGGGTTAATTCTAGTGGTTTATAAAATGATGCTTAATGGTATGTGATTTAAACATTTAAAGGAATGATTTGTTAACATCTGAGGGCAGAGCGAAGGTGGAGATAAAGAAACTCTAGGCATATAGTCTCAGATTTCCCCCCTTTTCAGTAACAGTAAGTTTCTTAGAGGAAAAATATATTCAGAAAAAGCTTCACCATGATCAGCAGATATTTATTGAATTTAAAGTAAATTAATATTGGGGCTCCTGGGTGGCTCAGTTGGTTAAGTGTCTAACTCTTGATTTTGGCTCAGGTCACGATCTCACGGTTCTGCTCATGAGATCGAGCCCTGTGTCAGGCTCTGTGCTAACAGCATGGAGCTTGCTTGGTATTCTCTCTCTTCCTCTCTCTCCTCCCCCACTTGTGAGAGGGCATGCGTGCACATTCTCTCTCTCACAAAATAAACATTAAAAAATAAATTAATATTTTATAGTATATATTTTACGGTATGTTTGAATTATGTAAAACTTTTATTCCATACTCTGCTATAATAATCTTGCTCCTTGCACGTGAAAATTAAATACTTGACCAATGTTAGTTTGACATTAGTTTTTCTGGGTCCCTTTATACATCTTTGTTTCCTTTTCTTTGTAACTTTGTGTACCTATTTGGTAACACATGAAATATCCAGGATTCAGCAAGTATTTAACTTTTGGTTACAACTGTTGTGTATTTCAGTTGCTTTTCCTTTTCTGTTTTGTAGTTGATGGCCTGCCCAAGTCAAATAATAAAGAGATAAGATCCAGTAGGGCACCTAGTATCTGCCCAAGTGCTGTATCACAGTTAAAGAACAACCAAAAAATAGAATCGGCCCAATGTAACACCTGCAGGGAGAAATTTGGAAAGTTTGGCAGCCTCATATTCATTTCTGTTAATAGCTCTTACAAACAACTTCTATATATGTCCTGTGGTTAGAAAACCCTATTTAACATTATCAAAATTTAAACATAGACATTTATATCAAACCAAACCTCATGAAAAGCCAAGTTGGGTATCAATAATGCAATTTTTTTCCATTTTAAACATCTTGAGGGTTTTTAATAATGAGCTTATGCTACATAATGAACAAGTGATTCGAGTTCTGAATCTTATGTTTGAGGGATACTGACTGTCATTTTATTTTATTTTATTTATTTTTTATTTTATTTATTTTTTTTTTTTATTTTGGGGACAGAGAGAGACAGAGCATGAACGGGGGAGGGGCAGAGAGAGAGGGAGACACAGAATCGGAAACAGGCTCCAGGCTCTGAGCCATCAGCCCAGAGCCTGACGCGGGGCTCGAACTCACAGACCGCGAGATCGTGACCTGGCTGAAGTCGGACGCTTAACCGACTGCGCCACCCAGGCGCCCCTGACTGTCATTTTAGAAATGAGTCCTATCCTCCCAAATTAAGAAAAAGATGTTACTTCTTATTACAATATCTATAAAAGTAATAAAAGTAGTGGGAGATATGGATTATGTTTTGATTCAAGGCAAATATTGGCAAATTACCACAAGATTCCTACTGTTTTAATTTTATTCATAAAATATCTGCAAATAAGACATATTGTGAGTATATATAATGAAAATTTAACCTTAAAAGTTTATTTGCTTTACAGAAGCTTGCTTAGTATAAATAAAATATATTTTGCTTTATAGAAATGCTATTTGCATGCTAATTCAGTTGATACCATATTTATACTTGTGATAACTGAAAAAAATCTTTCTATAGTGCATAGATCCAAAAAATAAAGACTATTGAATAAAATTAATAGGATCGATGTATAAAAGTTTACTGAACACTAGAGTAACTTTCAACATGAGAAGTGTACTGTTTTGCTGTAACATATTTTATCCCACTTGTTCTCATTTCACTATTTGTTATTGACTAAATACACCCTCTCATTTTTCTGTACCAAGGCACGCTCCATTCCTCCTTGATTTCACCAGAAGACCCAGTCTAGGTGTGGAGATGGAGGAGATAGTATTTTTTAGGCAGTGAGGAAGAGCCAGGGGAAATCACTTCTGAAAAAGCATTCAAGTCAATGATCATTTATACAGTAAATCTGTAAAGACGCCAATCTGTATGGTCCTGTGATGTTCCCAGACAACACTCAGCATTCTGGGAGAGGGTGGAGAGATCA